GGTGGTGGCGAGTGGGTGGCAGGTGAGTGGTGGTGGCGGGTGATGGGTGGTAGTGGCGAAAGACGGTGGTGGAAAATGGTGGCGGGTGGTGGCTAGTGTTGGGTGGTAAAAAAAAAAACTGAAAACTCAAAATGGAAACACATTTTTTGTGTTTTCATTTTTTGGCCAAATTTATAAACTGAGACCACTGATTTATAAATCAGAAATTTTACCAAACAAGTTTTTATTTGAGTTTTTAAAATTTCTGTAAATATAAACAGAAAACTGAAAACGTAAGTGTTACCAAACGGCACCAGCGTAAGTGAAATTGGGGTTAGTATTCCTAATCCTAAGTGAAATTTCATATTTTTCTACGATTTTTATTTTTTATTTTTCATAACCTTGTAATTTTCCTGTGATGATGTGAAGGTTTCCCAGCTTCTGGGTGATATCAATCTAGAATTTGATGATTCTGATGCTTCATATATATAGTGAAGAAACATATTCAAGAGTACTAGACTTGGACACTGTAACTACAAAAGTGAAAAACATTGTTCTTACTGTGCACACTACAAGAAAATCAGGTTTTAGCAGCGTTTTTTATTGCAGCAGCCTAAAAAATGCTGCTATAAATGGGCTATTGTAGCAGTTATTGACCACAACTAAAAATTAAATTATTAGTAGCATTTTTTTCCTAAAACACTGCCATATGTTTTTTTATAGTGACGGGTTGTGCTCAACCGTCACAAAAAGTCAAGTAATTTAAAAGCCCGCCAAATTCAACTCTGATTTCTCGGGAAATTAGATTTATTTATTTTTATTTTTATTATTATTTTTTTTTTGTGGGTGAATAACATATCAGAATCTCAGCCTAAAAATAAACCGTTCAACTCACAAGTTGTGCCCTACTCCACAACACTTCTTTGGCGAAGCATCAAAGTTCATCATTCCCGCGGCGTATTGACGACATCAAGCTATAGCATCACTGTGATTTCAAGGTCAGTTTGCGCTCTTTCTCTATCCCTCTATTTCTTCTTGTCTCTCGGTTTATCTCTCTACCCTTCTCTCTTTCTTCTACTGTCTCTGTTTCTCCGTTTCCCTTACTGTCTTAGGTCAAGTTTGGGTGAATGAAATTCATTGTTAACCTAAGACTTGCCATTCCATTCATTACTTCTAATATCTCCGAAACTTCTCTACTTTGAATGATTTCATGAACATCTTGAATGATTTTGATTTGGGAAAATAATTTAGAAAATAGATTGATTAACATGTTTGGTATTCTGATTTTTGATCATCTATGATATTCATATTTTAACCAATATAATTAGTGAAGTGAATGGATTGTTGTTGATGGTACATAATAAAATCTCATGCTTGAGGATTCATTATGATGCTAGGTGTTTGATAAAATGCCACAATGGAGTAATAATGCCTACATTTTTGTTTATTGGTTTGAACATGATCGTAACAACAACAATCATTTATAATGATCATAATAATCATAGTAATAAAGATGCTCACAAGATCATGATAGAGACAATTTATAAGTCCTCATTCATTCCTCATCCCAAGTATATTGAAACTGATCAACTAGTCCATCCTATTAGGGCTATGTTTTATTCCAATTAAGTGGGACTGAGTTCACCCATGACACTTCATCAAAAAGCCTCTTCTTATTTTGCACAGTTGTATTTCCTAGTCTTATGCTCATTAATAGACATCATTACCCAATATAGTTGATATTTCCAGATAAATATTTCAATCATATATATTGCCCCTCACACACACACACACACATATATATATACATACAGCTATGTTTTTCTTAGCCCCAAAGTACTTGCTTTATTTTGTAGTGTTGCCATTTTATTATCCCAAATATTCAAAATCTCATTTGTATCTGAAATATTGCATGAAAAACATTGCCTGTTAACTTTTTTTATCCACATCAAGTATGCCAATTACATGATGTCAATCATCAATATCATGCCTCAGGTACTTTTGATATCCCACTTACCAGAAAAATGTGACTGAGTTACCAACATAGTTGACTATGAATTATTCCAAATAAGAATTTGTAGCTTTAAAAATAATATTTTAGGGACATGTACCAACTCATTTTAATGCTTCCAGTGTGTTATTGAAACCTATACATTTATGTATGCCAGAACTCTTTTACTACAATAATCCAAAGACAATAAGGACCTAGCTGTATAAGGGATACATAAAACAACAAAATTAGTGAACTTACTACTCTTTCCTTTCATTTCTTCAATCATAGAAGTTTGATTTACTTTAGTAAAGCTGCATCAAAATAGACATCTATGGCTTCAATATAAACAACTCATGGCCATTCTTACCAATTTCCTGTTCAATATCAACTATGAAGCAAATTTGAAAGTATGAAATTGGTCATTATAGATGTGAAGGTTCAATTGATACAGCTGAACATAGAAAAAAACAAGCAGACCTCCCAAATTGAAATTCAACAAATTATAACTTTCCATCTCCTACCCATTGTTGAACCCAGTTATCAAATACTAGTGCACACATGAGTCTACTACTTTATGGGACAGTTGCTAGTCTTTACTGTTAGATATGTTTTGTTTCATTTGTGTGCAGCCAGGGCATCTAATATCATTTTCATAGACACTAGTTTTGGGTTCTTACTTAATTGCATGCCACCTCAACAATGTCAAGTTCTATATATCAATATGCAAGACGGCACAACTAGTTCTTTTTTTTTTTGTGTTGAGAAAATTGTTGTTTATGAATTTAATGCACAATTTGTAATGTTTTGTTGGCTTAATAATGTGATTAGAGAAAATTGTTGCCTCTTTTCAGAGTCTCATGTTGTTATTTATGTTGGGGGGTTATTTTACTCCATCAAAACTGCCACCCGAACCTCTTGAAATATGGGCATATAAGGTTAGACTGTGGGTTACTGATGGATATTTGATGTTTATATTTCAGTACAGATAAGGCACCTAATTTATTTTAGACACGCATTCTTAAGATTGGTCATACTTCCTTGTATTTTAGTGGAACACTGTAGCTATAATTGTTACTTATAAATAGTAATATTTCATATTTCCTTTCTGGGTTCCCCATTTTGCAAAGTTGTACGTGAAGTACTTGTAGAGTTAAAGTTGCCACACTTACTTCATAGGTAAAGTCCATTATGGCCATCTTGATTGATGATTTATGCATGGACAAATGTTATTTCAACAACATTCTTTACTTCGATGATGCCATCATGTAATCCTTTAAATGAAGAGCTAGTATAAGATTGACATCTATTTATGTAGTCTAACATAAATTTAATACACTTTCAATGACATTGTAGAATTTGAGTTTGTGGCCACATGTATGTAATAATCAAAAAGGAAAAAGGAAAAGAGAACATGTGTATCTGTTATTAATCTATCCCTTTAAACCTTTGTTCATTATCTTCTAATATTTGATGATTCTTGTTGACTCCTGTTCTTAACCTTATTGATATGATACTTTAAACCTTGTTACCAAAAGAATCCCCACACCTTGGGATTCCTTTGACCATTGCTGGTTACTAATTTTTGTTGTTGTCTTTGTTATTGTTGTTGCCATATATGTAAACCTTGTTTAGTTGGAAATTTGTAATATTTTATTTTTCTGAAAAAGTGTTAGAATATTACGTTATGATTTGATTTGATTTAGTTATAATTTCCTTATTATGGACTTTCCTTATTTGTGCCTTAAGACTTCCAATTTAAGCTACATGTTATTAATATAAAAGGGGATGATTGTCACATCATTCCCTAAGTTTGTTCTTCTCTCAAACAAGCAAACCCTACTTATTGGCTCATAGAAATCAAACCATTACTCGTATTCTTGTCTTGCGAGAGAGGAAGACATTCAATTAATGAAAATAGAGTAAAGAAAGGTCCATGGTTATCAGCTAACTCCTTTTAATTTGACCTTTTCAGGTCTAATTTCCAAAGGAAGAACGTAATCCTCAACTTACATAACTCATGCGAAGGAACTATCCTCATTTTCCATAAAAAAATAAGATCGAACAAAGCCTAATTTTAGTCTCATGTAGTCCAAGACTAGAGAGTTAATCTGACATGCAAGAAGATTCAAGTTGACAAATTTCAAGCCAATCTGTTTAGGGTCATCGGTTAATGAATTTAATTTTGGTGGCTTCAGAGAATTAGCATCCAAAACTAGCACAAGGAAACCAAAAACAAGAATTAAGAGTCCATACATGGAAATTGAAGCACTTGGATTAACGAAGTTGTTTGGAATTACTCCACTTAGTTTGTTAAAGCTGAGGTCTCTGCAAGAGATCATAAAGAAAAAGATATTAAATGGCTTTTGAAAAGAATTTTATTTCAGTAAAATGGAAACTCTGAAACAGATAATCACTACAATGAATTGAAATTTTCAACCCAACAGGATTAATTGAAGATCTTTGCAACATAATAGAGTCTTTTGGCAGAACAACACATTCTCAATTGATCAATGGCATGCCTATATCTTTGAATTGATTTATAAAACATTTGTCCATGGTACTATGAACCATTGTCTATACAGGTTTCTTTTCTACATTATCTGGTTTGTCATAATTCTAAATTTTATAAAATGGTTCAACATTTGAATTTATCATCACATTAACACTAGTAGTTGCACATAAACACATGCTAATTGAGGTTCCTCGAATCATTAGATATCTAATCTACAGAGTAAAAAACTTTTGTTGTTTCACTGCTATATAAAGTTTAATAAATTACATATGAACACAAAATAGGTAATTCATTAGACATTTAATGATATTAAATTATTTCAAATCAAACCAGTAACGGCCCAAAAAACTCTTTCAAGAGAACTTACAACTATTACTACACATGCCAATATGGGGGGGAGGGGGAAGATATAAAAATATACTAACAAAATTGTTAAATTGTTCATTGTCCCAAGATACTCTGGTAAGCTTCCAATAATGTTGCAACTTGTCAACATCCTGCAATGCGATCAAGCATACATGATTTCAAGTCACCAGGAGGACATTTGAAAATTCTTTTTAAGGCAGTGATATAGAAGCATCCAACTTACAGTGTCCGCAGGTATCTCATGTTACTAAGGGGTGGAAAAGTAGATACTTTAGTTCCATTCAAGTCACTAATTCTTCTGCATATTGTAATTCAACCAAAAACAATATAATCAAACATTGGCTACCAAGAAAATTACTAATCAAACACCAATGCACACAATATGGATAAAAGTTAAGGGCGTAAAAGATTTCTCACTGACAATTCAGTCATATTTGTCAAAACAGCAATGCCAAAAGGAATTGGACCATCCAAACCACTAGCCTGGATATATCTGCCATTACCATGTGTTTGTTTAAACAAGTTGCTGAATGAAAAACAAGTGACATCAAAACACATCAAGGCCTCACAAATTTCGAAGATGTATCCAGTTTTGGACGAAATTGGGTATGCTTCCTGTAAAGAGGTTGTCCCCGATCCGACTGCATTGTGATAAACAATAATTGAACAACAGATTTCAAAATATAAACATTAAACTCCCACAAAAAAGAACAAACAGAACTTATAGAACTCACAAATCCTTCAAAGTGGTCAACTTTGCTAGTGTTCCCGGCAACTCCCCAGAAAAATAATTCGATGTTAAACTCCTTTAAAAAAACAAAAACAAAATAGAGTTCAATTAACCAATTGGATTGCTCCAGTTAAGAGGACCTATGACTCTCATATATAATGTAATGGATTCAATCGTCAAGGATGAATGCTAAAGTTCATTTCCCACTCCCTTTTGAGTCCAACCAGGGTTATGCCCAACAATTACAAAGTACATATATTTTGACAGAAGATTACATGTACCAGGGATCGAGAATTAGTTGGGTGAAGCCTTGAACACACTCCTGAGTGAATCATATAGATATATACTAGAGGGTTTGTGCCCAACCGATGGGTGTGCTATTAAATCTGTAAAATATAAAGTTTGGTTTTGATGTCGTATGCGGCTCAAGTGGTAAAAATGTTGTTTCTTAGACCAAAAGTTGGCCTCCCTATATAATTTCGTGTTTTAAATAGACTATAAGGGCATTTTTGAAAATGAAAATGTCACATTGTGTCAACACCATAAAAAGTCTTGGGTTTATAATAGTATAGATATATAGATATATCGAAAGGATCTTAACTTCAGTTGCCAACAAATTGATACTCTACAAGCATTTATTAGAGTGGGACATAAGTTATAACAATATATTTCAACAGTGTTAATTAGAACTAGTAAATTTATTTAACAAGTGAATGACCCATCTCTCCATCACACACAAAGAAAGAAAAGGATCAAAAAAAAAAAAAAAAACACAACTATGATACCACATCTTCACCAACACGTGGTATCCAATAATAAGCTACCAACTATGATGGCAGTTACATAAGTACTTATTTGGAGTAGGTAGCTACATTTCATTTTTGGATTCACTTTTCCATGTTTAAGTTTATCATTGGCTGATAATACACGTGTCATTAATGAGTGATATCATATTGAATTTTTACTCGTATTTCTCTTCCTCTCCATGAGGTGACTTTCACCACCACCACTGCTCTCACAAGCCCCCATACAAAATGCAACAAATACAAACATCTACAAACGCATCGATAATAGCACTCCATGTCCACCAAGTGGCTTAAAGTGCAGAAATTGAAGTATATGTGTTTGGGCTGAGAGCATTTTTCTGCATTTCTCTAACACTGTGTTTGGTTGGAGGATTTGGGAAGGAACTTAAAAAGAAAAAGGGAAAAGATAGGTGAAATGTGAATAAAATATACCTATATTTCACATAATTTTACATGTTTTTTTCCTTTTCTTTTTCAAATTCCTTCACAAATCTTCCGACCAACACAGCGTAAAAGTCCTCAATAATGCTTCCATGACTATCCATTTGGCAGAATAAGCTAAAATTATTGAGTTCCCTGGCATAGCATCTTCGCTTTCACACATTTTGTGTCAGACAACAGGATCGCCATATTGAAAGCATTGCATACCCACGAGTGAATTGACAACAAACATGTCACAAGCAAAGCCCAATCTAATTGTTAGACCATGATTATTATATACAATTCAAGTGCTCCAAAAGGAACCCCGTTTGTAACATAAACACCAATCATAGCATTCCACATTCTATCAACCACCTCCTCTGCTTAGATTGGGTATTGGGTTAGGCGTGAGGGAGTGGCTACGGAAGGTGGGGAAACAGTGCGGGTGGTCGGTGGAGGGGTGGCGGGGAAGCCTTGTAAACCGTATCTCTCTCTCTCTCTCTCTTATGTTTTCTGCTTTGTGGGTACTGCTGAGCTTAGAGGTGAAAGAATGGGGAAAGGAGATCAACGGGGATAACCAGCACTGTTTATCTCGGCCACCGCACGTGTACTTCGTAGCCTCCTTTTCCAGTGAAGGCAATGGTGTCTAGTGGGTATCTAGTGTGGTAGTGGGGAGTCGAAGTAACGCTCCGTTTGGTTTGTAGGCAGGAAAAGTTGTCAATCGAGGTGTATTTGCGAATTGGTTATTTTAATTTTTTTAAATTTTTTATAAAAAAAATGTAAAATATAGAGAATGATGTGATAATTTATACTATTTTTTTTTAAAGAAATTTACAATTGCCCTCTCGTTACCCTCTCTTTTGCCTTCTTCAGTCACCACTACTGAATTGTCATCTGCGACCCTCTTCTTATCTCGACGAGCCACCTCTGGTGCTGAACCCTAACGGTGATTCCCCTTCCCAACCTCTTCCCTCCAATGGCGACCTCTCTTAATCGCCCCTTGCCGCCTTCTCTTCCCTCCCTCATGCATCACCCCTGCTACATCGTAACCCAGTCATGTTGTTGCCCCATGCTCGCTCATTATTTCTAGTTGTCGTAATCGCCCTCTGCTCGCCATTGCTATCGCGGCCCAGTCATGCAAATCTCAAACTAGATCTGGAGATTTCCATATCTTGAATAGTGTAGAATGAGAATAAGAAGGTGAGTGAGAGAGAAAGAGAGAGAGAGAGTAAACTGATAATATTTTCAATTTTAACACTGAAAATTTTTGATAAATTTGTCAAAACCGATAATGTTTTCAGTTAATACTATAAAAAAAAAATTGAGAAATTTCTTAATTTTGATAATTGTAAACTGAAATCATTCTCGATTTTGGAACTGAGAACATCTCAGTTTTTACCTACAGACCAAATCTCCAAATCTCAAATCCAACATTCTCAATTTTGATAAGTTTCGATTTTAGTATTCAGTTTGATTTTGTTACATATTGCTTCTGAGTTTATTAACCGTTTATCATTTGAAAGTACTATTCACTGATTTTCCTAGATTTAACGTTTTTGACGTGATCTACCAAAAGGGCAGGAATGTTACATTGCATTTCAAAATGGGACTTGTGAGTTCAAAAACTGTTACACGGGACTTGAGCTACGACACCTCCTCTCATTAGGATTTTTAGGTAATTAATCCATTTTTTTATTATAATAAGTCTCCAAAATTGGCCTAACTAAAAAAACAAATTATGAGAGAAGGATATGTGTAAGATTTATTTGGGGTAAATTACATTGACCTCTCCAGAAGTTTCTGACAAATACAGGGACCTCCCCTGTTATTTCAATAATTACAGTAACCTCTCATATTTTACCTGACATTCTCCAGATTCTTTTATTATTTGAGTCATGCAAATCTCAAACTAGATCTGGAGATTTCCATATCTTAAAAAGTGTAGAATGAGAATAAGAAGGTGAGCGAGAGAGAGAGAGAGTAAACTGATAATATTTTCAATTTTAACACTGAAAATTTTGATAAATTTATCAAAACCGATAATGTTTTCAGTTAATACTAAAAAAAAAAAAATTGAGAAATTTCTTAATTTTGATAATTGTAAACTGAAATCATTCTTAATTTTGGAACTGAGAACATCTCAGTTTTTACCTACAAACCAAATCTCCAAATCTCAAATCCAACATTCTCAATTTTGATAAGTTTCGATTTTAGTATTCAGTTTGATTTTGTTACATATTGCTTCTAAGTTTATTAACCGTTTATCATTTGAAAGTACTATTCACTGATTTTCCTAGATTTAACGTTTTTGACGTGATCTACCAAAAGGGCAGGAATGTCAATTGCATTTCAAAATGGGACTTGTGAGTTCAAAAACTGTTACACGGGACATGAGCTACGACACCTCCTCTCATTAGGATTTTTAAGTAATTAATCCATTTTTTTATTATAATAAGTCTCCAAAATTGGCCTAACTAAAAAAGCAAATTATGAGAGAAGGATATGCGTAAGATTTATTTTGGGTAAATTACATTGACCTCCCCTGAAGTTTCTAACAAATATAGGGACTTCCCTTGTTATTTCAATAATTACAGTAACCTCTTTTACTTTACCTGACATTCTCCACATTCCCTTATGTTGTCAAATTGAAACAAACAGTGTTACTTTTCTATAATAAATGACCTTATTGCCCTTATTTTTAAAATATTAAAAAATACTTTTGGATTGGAGGATGGCTTTGGAAGAAAATGACCTTACTATAGGAAGAAACAGTGTTTGGAATAAACAGTGTTTTTGGATTTATTTTTGTAAAATTTTAAAAAATGTTTAAGAAAATTTTATTTTTTTATTTTAAATATACAATTTTTTTTTTAAGTTTTCTTGTTTTAAATATTTTATTTTATTTTTTAAATATTTGAATTTTTTTAAGGGGAATTTATCACTAAGTCCCACCATAGGAACATGTGATCCATTTGGTCCCACACAATAACTGTTTGATTCCGAAGTCTCGTTTGTGCGTGATTTGTTACTAGTAGGTCCTGTTTTAAACATGAATGGGTGATTCGTTGCCGAAAATACCCTCACATGTTTTGTGGGATGTTTTTGGTCATATTTGGTATGTGTAATCCCAAGTCTTGCGGAATGCGAAATTTCAGTACACTAAAATTTCAAAGTTTGGGGATAGGGTTGTTGGTTCAGTCTACTGATTGAGGGAGACGAAGATTTTTTTCACCCAAACGTGAACCCAACAAATGAATAACTTGCGTGAACCCAAAATTGGATATGGTGGCCACACACTGACAAGAATACTCCTCCTGATCTTAAAATGGTGCCTCCTGAGCATTCTCAGTTCTAGACATCTTCATCACTATCCATGGCCAAGCATGGAGCTCGGACCAAAGCGGCATTGTTTCTCTCCGACAGCCTTCTATTCGTTGGTGGAGCTTTGGTGGCTCTTCTAACAATTTGGGCTCTATCATCCTTCGTAAACCCTAACCCCAGTTCTGGTTTCTTAGTGAACGAAGCAAAGGCATCGATTTCTTCGGAGAAGCGAGATTGCGCTGGAGGTGTGCACGTGGTTAACCTGCGCGACGGTGACCCCGACATTCTACGACGACCCGGCAATGAACTATGATGTGAACCCGGCAAGTGTGTGTCGGCTTCGTGAACCTGGCAATGAACTATGACGTGAACCCGGCAAGTGTGCTTTGGCGTCGGTTACCGATATTCTCACGACTCTCGGTCCGACGGCATTCATCTTCGGCAGCTTTCTCCTCACCGTCGTGGTTTGCTGTCGATGTTCACTGTACTTCACTGTGCTCCGATCCATATCTCTACAGATTTCTCAGAT